CAGTCCATAACAAACACCACAGTGCACTGTAAGAGGTTAAGAAGTAACCATAGGAGCAGATATTTAGTTACAAAACTATCAGATATTGTCTGGAGAGTCCCACAAAGTATCTCCATTCATCTCCATTACGGGACCAGTTCCCGGATTAACTAGGAGTGTTTCAACGTATAATGCGCTCACGTGATCCTGTTTCTAATCCTGTTCCGTGTATTATATCTATGTTTTGAGACTTTCATTTTCAGTAATGTTGCACGTGCTCAAATTTTGGCCTAATTAAAACTGGCCAATCACTAACAATTTAATAATTTGCTAAAATTTCACCCCTTAAGATTAGTTATCATAATTTAGTTATCATTGTTACATTTTTTTGCTGATAGATAATGAATCATTGCAGTGTACTAGAGAAGACGGCACTGATGGTAGTAGACATTACGTGTATAGAGACAATGGAGGGAATGTATTGTACAGCTTTCCTAGCGTAACCACCATTTTAAGTGAGTCATTACCATCAGTTTATGATACATATACATGTTCTTATGTGATGTTGAAAGTTTCCGATCAAGTCTGAATATGTTACAAATTTTTAAAGTTGCTCCAAAATTGGACAAAAGTCCCTGTACTATAGTACAGTGATTTTTACCGAATTTGACCAAAATTGAAAAGTAGAGAATTCTTGATTTTTATTATATTTCCTGATGCATATACATGTACTTATGTTGTGTAGAAAGTTTGAGCTGATCCTGATCAAGTTTGGATTTTTTATGAATTTTTAAAGTTGCTCTAAAATTGGACAAAAGTCCCTGTACTATAGTACAGGGATTTTGGTCAAATTTTGGCAAAAATGAAAAGGAGAGAATTTTTGGTTTTTATTACATTTCCTGATACATATACATGTTCTTATGTCGTGTTGAAAGTTTGATCTGATTCCGATCAAGTTTGGATTTTTTACGAATTTTTTAAGTTGCTCCAAAATCGGACAAAAGTCCCTGTACTATAGTACAGGGATTTTGGTCAAATTTTGGTAAAAATGAAAAGGAGAGAATTCTTGATTTTTATTACATTTCCTGATACATGTACATGTATCACTTACATGTTACATACAGTCATGGCACCTTCTCTCCTCTCATTGTGTCAGATAGCACTCGATCTACTTCTGATATGTTCAGAATGAAGGTGTGGACTAAAGGACAGATTGAGAAATATGGAATTGAGAGATTCAAAGCAAACCGGTTGAGGATAATAAATGAAGGGAAAGCATTTCATGCAGTGAGTTGAATACAACATGTCATGTTTTAGTGAACCACATAAACTGAAGTTAGTTTATGTTTCTATCATTATCTGCTACTTTAAAGATCATAATTTTTCAATCCAGTCAAATTTGATATTGCCCATGACACAAAATTAGCTCACTCAAATTTTTATGCATCTTTTTTGAAAACACGAACACTCAATATTTCAATTTATTTTGTATAGTGTAATTAAGATTGATTATATTTTGGTAGGAGATTGCTGACTTCTTAGCTAGTAACAGCTCCTCCTCTTTCACTGATAGCAATACTTCAGAATATTTTAATAGCATCCGTGAATTATTAATTAATGACATCACTGATGTAAAACTGTGTGAGGAGAATGTGTTGCATGAAGAACTAGGATATGCTGGTACTGTTGACTGCCTGGCTAAATACAAGTGAGATATAATGAGTATAACATTTCTTAAGCTTTCTCATATACATGTACTAGCTGTATAACCTGATGATGGCTCTACATCAGATAAATATACATGTATATCTACATGGTAATGTATAGACATCCTTTTAATAGAAGAGCTTGTTAATTAGAAGTGTGAGTTTATTATCTTCATCCATTCTCTCTCTTTATTAGAGGTAAAACTTGTGTCATTGACTGGAAGACATCACAAAGTCCAAAGTCAGACTTGTTTGACTATCCATTACAAGCAGTGGCTTATGCTGGAGCTATCAACAACATGGGACAGCATAAAGTACACACACTCAGTCTAACTGATCCACCTTGTACCTCCTACCTGTGTGTGTGTGCATGGAATGTAGTAAAAGATCTTTAATTAAAAGAAGATAATTCTAAATATATTTGAGCCAAACTTTGCATCCTAATTAATGCATTAAAAATGCTATACTTAACACAAATAATCATTATTGATTGTTGTTATCATTATTATTATTATTATTATTATTATTATTATTATTATTATTATTATTATTATTACCATTAGGTTGATAACTTGCTGATAGTTGTTACATGTTCAGGGACTCCTCCATTAGTAAAACATTTCAATGTAAAGGAATGTACTGAACTGTGGGAGCAATGGATTGATAGACTGGAATACTATCAGACCAAATCTTATAATTAAAGTATTTCATTGTGTTATAATTTTATTTTGCATTGTTATATTTTAAACTGTCTTTGCTGCAATTAATGCAAGTATTACGATCATGGTCGGTTGTACTGTGTTTATTTGTTTCTGCTGTGGAAAAAATTTGAGCTTTCTTATTATAGGAGCATTTAAAGAAATTTATTCCAAAATTAAGTTTAATATTCTACCAATGATAATGACCAATACTGCACTAACACTACACTGATAATAATAATCAAGACACACACACGCACTGTTAATTGCAAGTTCTCATTATTCCTTTATTGTGTTAATTGCGACGAAATTTCATTTCAGTGAATTTGAGAGAATATTTCTTTCCCTTCCAGCTATACCAATTTATTCCATGCCAATCAGGAGCACTAGTTGGGTTATTATAATATAAAGCATTGAGATTAGAACTAAAACATGCATTATACCACCAGGCACCTTTAGTGTCAGCAGCACAGCTAAAATTTGGATCTGAATGTTTGTCATTATCTCTGTCTTTAGTTGAAAACTTCATTAAACTGTGGCCACTGAATGAATCAGTAGCATCACCACTGTACCCCTGGGCTATTAGTGCATACTGGATATTAGCATCAAGTACCTGGAATTGACTGTATTTAGCAAACCGTTTGTTTCCTTCAAAGTCTCCCAGTTCTATTCTCAGTGAACTATCATCAGTTGGAGTGAGTCTGTGTATGTTAGCCAGTCCCAGCCAATAGTTTCCCTTCAAATCACCAAACCCTTTTTCATAGTCAGCCCAGTTACGATAGAAATCAACACTACCATCAACTCTCCTCTGAAATACAGTCCATCCACCACCATCAGTCTCCATATCACAGTATACCTGTGGAAAAAGAAGATCATTAATTTTCAAGACTATGGTGCATGAGCTAATAAAATGATGTGAAAGTTTTCAGTTGCTAAATGTTTTACTTGAAAACCAGTTCCATTGTCTGGTTTGACAGGATATATTCCACTTTTATTAACACCTGCTGCCAGCCATCCCTTACAGTCACGAGCTATTGGACAATCTAAAGAATAATAATGATTTTAATAACAACATGACATAGTTTGAGTAGTTATATCTCACATAAT